GTACTGCAGAGCTGACTAGGACTTAGTGCCTTTATGAACATTGGATCTGAACCTCGCTCTAACCTGTGCCACGCTCACTGATATACTAGCTCATTCTTACAGTCACAGATGTTGATCCATCTTGTTGAGGATCTTCCTTTCTTTTGCTGACTCTCTACCTTCCTAAGCAGGAGTCTTTTCCAAAGGACTGTCCTCTCCTGACAAAATGCCCAAAGTATGTGAGATGGAAGTTTCACCATCCTTGCTTCTAAGGACATCCTGGCTGCACTTTCTCTAAGATATATCTGTTCTTTTGGCAATTCTTGGAATATTCAGTACTATTTTTCCAACACCACAACTCAAAAAGGCATCAATTCTTCTTTTTTCATCATTATTCACTTTCCAACTTTCAGATGCACATCAAGTCACTGAAAAGGCTTCGGCCTGGTTCAGGCACATTGTAGTCTTTAAATTGACATCACTGCTCCTTAGCACCTTTGGGAAGTACTTGATAGCAGATTTTCCCAGTGCAACATATCTTTTGAGTTCTTGATTGCTGGTCCAAGGGTGTGAGAGATCAAAAAACCAAACCCATTGCCCTCAAGTCAAGTTCAACTCATAACCACCCAATAGGACAGAGTAGAACTGCCCTGCTATAGGATTTCCAAGGCTATAATTTTTATGGAAGTCGAAAAGAGCAAGGACCACATGGGGAAGGCCATACCTAATCTTTACCAACTTCACAAGGTGAACTGTCCCCGTCAACAGCACTAATAACACAAATCCAATTCCCTGAGGTGAGTCATGTTCTCCATGTTCCTATACCTCCTTCTACTCATCTCAACACCAATCTTACTGCGTTACTGGGTCCAAAATCTGATGTGATAGCTCACAGACTACACATAATAATGTTGGGGAAGTTAAAAGGTTATAATCCAGATTAATAGCAGAACTCAGTGAGAACAGCTTCCTGACTGTGTTCATAGTCACCTCAGCCTTGACCCTTGCTTGTGACTTAAGGCCAGTGTTAGAAAGTTCTCAGTCCTGCCAATATTGGCTTCCTACCCTCAGTTTTCCAACAAACTTGGGCAAAGGCTCTTAGCTCCAGTTCCAGTGGTGTGGTAATCCCAAGGTCTCATCTCACATCAAGTCTGGTTTAGCTATGGCTACTGTTGCCACATGTGTAGCTGGAGCAAAAATTTCTGGGCCCAAACGTGTTACACCCTCTTGCTGCTGTTGCTTCTTCACTGGAAGGGATGGTCTCATTTTCTTGATGCTGATTGCTCAATTTAATGGTAAGACTAGCCAATCTTCTTGTGGATCAGTGAGACTAGCCAATCCCCTTGTGGGAGAAGATAACCAATCCCCTTGTGGATAGGCAATTCCATTGTGAATTGGAAGACAGCCAGTCCCCTTGTGGATTGGTTAACATGCCCCATTCACTTATCTCCACCCTTCTACTACATGGCAAAGTCAAATAATGGCTAGGAAAATCATATTGCAAGATAAACTGCACAGGAAATAGACTGTCACTTCCTTCTTCTGCAGAGGTTTGAAATGCTGACCTTGCAGTTAGCATCAAGCACTTTAACTACAGTGTCATCAAGTCAATTCAGCTTTACAGTAACACAACAGGACAGACTAGATTGGAGTAGCCAATATGGACTTTCTAGTTAGCATTCAAGCTCTTAACTACCGCACAATCAGGGCTTAGTGTAGTGATGTTGTTCACTTGACTCCAATTTACAGCAATCCTATGTAGAACTGAATGAGCCTCAGATCCTGTGTCATTCTCACAATCTCTGCTGTCCACTGTTATCATCATTGTGTCAATCCACCTTATTGAGGGTCTGTCTCTCTTCTGCTGACCTTCTGCTTTTTCAAGCACGATGTCCTTCTCCATGGATCAGCCCCTCTTGATAATACATCAAGCGCAAGTGAGACAAAGTCTTACCATCCTTATTAATAAGGAGCATTCTGGCTGTACTTCTTCTAACATAGATTTGTTTGTTCTTTTGGTGGCTGTTGTTATGTGCCATCAAGTTGCCTTTGACTCATAATCATCCTATGCTCAATAGCTCTGAACTCTGGCCTATCTTGAGCCAGTCTCACTGACTCTGATATACCTACTCCTATTACCATGTCAATCCATCTCATCCAGGGTCTTCCTGTCTTGCACTGTTCCTCCGCCCCCTAAGCATGATGTCCTTCTTTAAGGACTGGTCTCTCCTGGCAACATGTCCAAAGTGTGTAAGATGGAGCTTCAAAGTCTTTTTCAGTAACACCATAATTCAAAGGCGTCAATTCCTCTTTAGTCTTCTTTATTCATTGTCCAACTTTCATATGCATAACAAGCAATAATCCATAAAAACCCACTGCATCCACTGGTGCTCACATAAGAAGCACGGGATGTAGCCTTGCTATCTGTATCTTTAGCTGTAAGATAAAATAGTTTAATTGCTGATGCTTTTTAACTAAGGGAGCTCTGACAGCCTTGTGGTAAGAAGTAGTACTGTCAACCCAAAGTCAGACAATTCTAATCTACCAACTGCTCTGAGAAAGATAGAAAATCTCCTCCTGTTCAATTTACATTCTCTGAAGACTCAGGACCAGCAGCTATGGATCAGCTGAGTCTTTTTTACTTGATGGTACATAACACCACCATCACATGTGAACAACAATCACAGATGCAATTTGGATCAGAGAGGCTGCTCTCAGAATTTCATGTCTTGTAGCTTATGAATCAGGAGGAGTAAATAGTGTTGAGTGCTGCAGGAAGAGTTCACGTTTCATAGGTTATATGAGAGGTCTAATAATGGGTACATGGGCACTGATACTACAACAATTACAAATAGTATCAACTAACATTGATACAGAGAAGATTAACATGGCCCCTGTGCCAGGGTGACATGCGAATTCTTGAAGCACTCTGTATTTTCGACTGTAACAACGGAGTCGAGCATATCAGAGATGATGAGGACGGCACAGGATAGGGCAAGGTTGAGATCCATTGTTTATAGGGTAGCTGTGACTTGTAGTTGATTTGACGGCACCTAACCACCACCACAACTATGTCAAGGAGCAACACGTAGCCATGTGAAGAAGCTCTAGTGTCAAAGTCTACAAAGAAATACACTATCAGCAGATGGGCACTCTCTTCCCGCGTGATTTAGAGCCTCAGAAACTCACTGGCGGGTCTGCTATAAGCCAGTTCCAACTCAATGATGGTGAGTTTTATATCTAAACTACCAGACAATTAACAAGTGGGAAAGCTAGATGAGAAGCCAGGCAGGCCTGATCTAGACTACGTGCATCTAAGTAGACTACCGCTCACAAAGTCATACACATACCATTTCAAGTTGGAAATTCAGTTAGTTTACATAAGTCTCAAATCACCTAAGGAATGTTAAGAAATGTTACTGCTTCTCAACCCATATTTAATCAGCATTAATTGCAGCAGCAGCAGAGTGGTGCTGGGGACCTGTATCTCCATAAAGCTCACTTGATGATCCTAATTTACAACCACATACAAGAAACTCTGGCCCAGGTCCCTATCCCATGTTCATTTCTTCTGCTGTCACCAGATCAAGGAGTCAGTCATCCATCTGTGCTCAGATCTCTCCAACTATAGGACTCCCCGTTTTGGAAGCAGCCCGGATTAGAAATTCTTCCAAATTGACAAATCCACAATCATCAAGTTAACTTTGACTCATTATGACCTATAGAACAGAGTAGACACTGCCTCATCTTTGAGTAGTAGCTAGTGGGTTTGAACCTCTGACTGTACAGTTAGTAGGAAGTTTATCTACTCACATTCCAATCTGTCTACTTGAAGTTTCATTCACTGGTTCCAAATCTACACCAGGAAAGCACATTGAACACAGCTGAGCCACACAAGAAAGAGCCTCTACTCCCCAGGTACTTCCAATCCCTACAAGTCAGCCCTCCTCCTGGTTTTTGCCAACCATGTGTCCAAGCGCTCTCTTCTCCAGGCTACTTCTAGTTCCTTCAACAATTCCTCTAGGATATGTCGAAACTTTCCTCACAAGCCTGGCCTCTCTTCTCTGAGTGAAGTCTTCTTCTTTCTTCCTTTTAAAAAGTACTCTGAACAAACAGGCAAAATCTTCATTTTAGTTGAGTCAGAACTGACTCGTAACTGACCCTCCACTGCATTTCCAAGGCTATGAAACACATAGGGAAATTTTCATGTTTGTCCTGTGGAGCTACTGATGGATTCAAACTGTCAAGAAAGCTGTGGTCTGTGGGTTAGCAGTGTTACACCATACAGACTTCCCTGCCAGAGCTCTCTTTCACAGGAAGGCACCTCAAAATGAATCAGATTTCCATGGTATAACTGAGGTTCTTTATCTAGGGTTTTTGTCTCTGCAATTATTTAATGGGACCAATATCCATCCCATTAACAAGTGTGTTGAGACTAGCATAAAATAGCACATGAAACAAAGACTTTTGAAAAAGAACAGAATATTCTATAACATAAGGCCACTAATACTTACCTCACCCAACGTTCTAACTACCTTTTAGCATCAGTGAAGAGCCAAATCCTTACATCAGTGAAAACCCAAATTCAAAGCAAAATTCTCTGACCAAAACCCTCTCAGTTGGATGAATATGTGTAGATCTTGTTTGCAATTAGCTGTGTATCTGTAAACAAAATACTCAGGAGAGAAACAATCTTCCAGGAAGTTCAACTCAACTAACTGACTTTTGACAAGTCAATTTTGACGCAATGAGACAGAATGAGACCATAGCATCATGTTTTGTTATTATGTGACATCCAATTGAAACAGACTCATAGCTGACCCTCTAGGATGTTTTCTGAGGCTGTGATTCGCATAAGCAGAGGCTGTCCATCTTTTACCCCAGATGCAGATTTAGGGGTGGGGTGGAGGCAAGGTTCAAACACCACTACCAGGATGCCTTAGGGACTCTAAAGATCCTAGTAAACAGGCATAGCCTCATCTAGATGTAGCAGCCAAGGGCCAGCCCAGGCAATGTCTTACCAGTCCTTCTGCGACACATTCTGGTTGTAAATATGCCCACTAATGTTTCTGTATGGCGGACAGATGCATTTGCACCGAATATCTTCAGAACTCTGGAAGAAAAACAACAGATCAGGTGGGAAGGGCCCCTGGGTTCAGGTCTAGCAATGTTCCCACCTTTTAACCTCCTGTTCTCTATGCATACTTTTGAGCGCCCTCCCACCCCTGGCCTCTGCAGAGTAAGTGCTACATCACAGGAATGTTAGGATAGACTAGTTGGAAAAGACTCACAGAAAGCGGTCTAGATCAGCCACTCTCTAAGTGGGGTGCTTGGGGCCCTCATCCTGTTCTTACATATGTGTGTACTCTCTCACTCCCATTCTCACTCCCATTCCATTTCCAATTTCCTTGGATAGGACTGGCAGAAGAAAAATGCCAGAGGTTAGTAAGGAAATACAGTTATTTCAATGGGAATATTCAAGTAGCCTCACAGAAACGTTCTTTCCCTTGGGATGAGATAAGAGGCAGCAGTACAATTTTCATTCCAGCTAGCAAAACTCTCAGAATCAACCATAGTTCAAGGTCTTCCACAGAGATCCAGGTCTAACTCTCTTGCCCTCAGAGAATGGAAGTTACCTCAAGAGTCTTTGTTTGTTGTTATTGTTTGTTAGGCAGATAGGAGTCAGAATGGACTCATAGCTGACCCACCAGCAGGTTTTCAGAGGCTGTCAATCACACAAGAGGAGATGGCCTATCTTTCTCCCCCGGAGCAACTGCTAGATTCAAATCACATGGGTTGGCAGCACACCTCCTTACCCACTAGGCCACCAGAGCTCCCTTTCCTATGTAATCTATATTTTTTAAGTTGTTTGGAGTCCAGTTCCTGGTGACCTTATGTGTGAAGAGTAAACTGTAGAACTGCTAGACAGAGCTTTCAAAGCTGCAACTTTTCAGATAGAGATCACCAGTTCTGTCTTCAAAAGTGCATTTAGGTGAGTTCAAACCACCCACCAGACAACCTGTTTGCTCCTCCTTAGTTACTGAGCACTTAGCTTTCTGCACCAACCAGCCCCATTTTACACAGAAGCAAAGGAAAGTTGCTGGGATTCCAACTCCAGCCAGTCTGACCCAGCACGGGTGCTCTGCAACATGCCAGCACAACTGTCCGCTCATCTCTCCACCCATTTGGTATGCCCTTAGGGAGGCCAGCAGTGCCGAGCCTGAAGCAACATTCCTCCAAAGGCCTGGCTCACGCTGAGCAAGGGGCAGGATCTGAGCAGCAGCTATCTATAGAGTCACGGGTGCACCGGGTGCTCACCTTGCTGGCTTCTGCTGGGAGTATTAGCAAACATCCGACCACCACCGCGAAAGAAAGGAGCTTCATGCTTACTCAGACTTGCCGGGCCTGCAAGAGTACTGGAAGAAACGTAGTATTGGGAAAGAGGAAGGCACACCAAAGCCGGCCAGCAGCCCCTTAACCCTCTAGCCAGGACTGGGAATGGAGTCTGGGACTGGGAGCTAGCATCTCAGGGCCTCCTGAGCCCCAACATCGCAATGCTGTTTCCCCAAGTCTTTGCTTCTCCTTGCCCACCTAGTGTAGCCAGTAAGAGCGGGTTCCGGGGGGCTGGGCCTCCAGGAGACACGGCCTTCCCAGGCCTAGCGTTCCTCCAAGGCCGACTCTGACCCTCGCAGTCCCACCGCCCTCCGCCATCTCCACCTCCACCAGCCCCAGCAGCTTTTTTCCCACTTAGACCCAACGGGAACTTTGGATCCAGAGCCTGGGAGCCCTGATCCGACTGTGAATCTCAGTGCCCAACGCGTCCAAGGCTCTTCAGCTGGGCTGGGGCCCCTAAAAGGATCGCATCTCCCCCTACAACACCCCAGTCCTGTACCTGGAAGCCTGGCTTCAGCGTCACACTAACCATCAAGTTCCGCCCCTTTCCGTCCTCTATTGGCTAGTAGAGCAGTCGCTCAGCCTAACTGTTCTATCACCAAGGCAACAAGACCCACCTTCCCCAAGGTGAAGGGACAGAGAGACAATTCTCTAACCCGACCAAGCAAGAAAAGGAACGTCAGCCTTCTGAGCTAGAAACGAAGAAAGGGCTTGCCTATAAAACTCCTAATGTAGAGTTTGGATGAGGAGCTAATCTTACTCCTTTTGCTGTTAAAAGGGGCAAGCACTTTATAAACTATAAAGTTGTTAGCAATCACCCCTAAGTTAAACCAAACTCACTGCCATTAAGTCGCGTCCGATTTACAGCGACCCTCACAGCGACTCTCAATACAGTTTCCCAGGCTATCTATCTTTCCAAGAGAAGGTTTCTGGAAGAGAAATGTTTGGTGGAGAGATATGATGAAGGATAAGAATTGGCAGGGACAAAGGTCCGATGGCATTTTAAAAGGGCTAATATGAGCAAAATTGGATGTAGGAGATAGCTAGTGGGGAGGAACCAAAGATAAAATGAGCTGGGAAAGGGCAGTCTTGCTGATCAGAAATTAAATGCCAGAAAGGAGCCTGGATTTGGTGCACTGGAGTGCTGCAAGGAGTGTCTAGAAATGAGTTAAGCCCTTGCTGAACATGGTTGGAGAAATATAGAAGCAGAGTAGAGAAAGGATGTGAAATGAACATAGTGAGCAGAGTATTAGCATAGTAGAGAGGGCAAACAGGCTGACCATGAGATTACTTAACGGGCTAACCATGAGGTGACCATTAGATGGTCACCTAAGTGGACTTAATCTAGGGAATTGGAAGGAGTCAAAGATCAATTAGAACTAAGACCTGGAACTTGAGAAATGCAGAATAATCTCAAGAGGAAAGTGAGAAACCTCGCATATGTTTGACATGGAAGGCAGTGAGCTCAGCATACTGGGTACATCTAATCTCCAAAGGGTCTTCACTGGAAGTGACTGAGACCTAGCCCCATACATATGTCCCCGTGAGGGTCCTCCATCTCCACATCAGAAGTGGTGTTGTTGTTATGTGCCGTTGAGTCGCTTGCGACCCTTCCTAGGCCAGGCTGTCACTCTTGCCTTCTTGGTCACTAATGGCACTGTTCCAATGCCCAGCTGTGTCCAATAATTTAGAAAATGTTGGCAAAGAAATGAATTATAAAATTAAGAGTCATGTAACTAGGATGGAAGTTTTAGAAAAAAATGGAAATAAATTTACAACCAGAGTAGCACAAGTAGCTAAGAAAGCTCAAAACACCAAAGTGTCTGTTCCAACCATCCAAACAACAAATGCTAAGAACCAACTAAAACCTACTGCTTCTGTGAAACCAATACAGATGGAAATGTTGGCTCCAAACGGTCCTTCTTCTCAAGCTGAAGATATCTCCATGAAAGAAGTGAATCTTTGCCAAGCTTTCTCCAATATCTTGCTCTGCAAAATTGAGTACATTGATAATGAAGATTGGGAGAACCTTCAGCTCTGCAGTGACTATGTCAAGGACATCTATCAGTATCTAAGACAGCTTGAGGTTCTACAGTCGATAAGCCCACACTTCTTAGACAGGAGAGATATCAATGGACACATGCATGCCAGCCATCCTGGAGGACGAGCTGGTTCAAGTCCATCCAAGTTTAGTCTTCTGCAGAAAATGCCATACATGTGCATTGCTTTTTACAGATTCAGTCAGTCCTCATAAGAAGCTTCAGCTGGTTGGGATTACAGCTCTACTGTTGGCTCCGAGTATAAAGAAATGTGTTCTCCAAATATAAAGAACTTTGTTTATATCACAAAAAATACTTACACCAATTCTCAAATCCAAGAAGTGGAAACTGTAATTTTGAAAGAAGTGAAGTTTGCATTGGGTCAACCCTTGCCCCAGTATGATGAGCTTGGAAAATTGGGGAGGTTGATGTTGAACAGCACACTTTGGTCAAATGTTTGATGGAGCTGTTGATGACAACATGGTGCATTATCTCTCATCTCAGGTAGCAGTGGCTGCTTCCTGCTTGTCTCAGAAAGTTCAAGACTAAGGAAAACAATGTAGCTTAAACCAGGAATACTACACTGGATATACACAGAATGAACTGTTGGAAGTCATGCAGCACATGGCCAAAAACGTAGTGAAAGTCAATGAAAACTTAAATTCATTTCTGTCAAAATTAAGTACGTGAGCAGCAAACTCCTGAAGATCAGCACACACAGTTCCTCAGCTGAACTCTTAAGTAACTGAAGACCTTGCCTCACCTCTGATGGGAAAGCCCTGGGCTACTACATGGCTAAGGTTTGGAACTCTTGACTATGCACATAGTCCTCTGGTCTACTTCATGAGGCCTCTTCGGCAGTCAGGAGTGGCATCCACCTCCGCAAATAGCTTGCTTCTGGGAACCCTATAAACCTGGAGAAAGGATGAAAGTCACACAAATGTCGAGGATTTTCATTCATAGGGTCCCTATAAATGACCTATGACTTGACGGCACTTAACAACATAAGATCAGTTGGCCTAGTGGACTGAAAGTGATGCTACCAAGCCAAAGGTGGGTGACTGTAATCCGCGGCCCTCAGGCCTGTTTTAAATTGTTTTTGGTCAAACATTCTTCTAGGTCGTATAGCCTTGGTGTGTCCACTTGCTGTACAGAGGTAACTTGTGGTTGTTGTGAAGCTAAACACTGTGACATTGATGTGTCAAATATGATAATGGTTACCCATGGTGGACAGTGTTTGGAGGAGCTCTGTGATTAAAACAAGCTTGGAAGCAGGAGTGGCATCCACTTCTGTAAATAGCTTGCCTCCAGAAACTCTATGAACCTGGAGAAAGGATGAAAGTCACTCAAGTATGGAGGACTTTTGTTCATAGGGTCACTATGAGTCATTTACAACTCGACGGCACTTAACAACAACAACAATATTGAAGAGAAAGAAAACTATTTCTTTCTCTTTTGTTATTGCTGTTGTGTACCATAGAGTCAGAACCAACCCATAGCTGATTCTCCAGTGGATTTTCAGACACAGTTAATCGTATGGGAGGAAATTGCCCCTTTTTCTCCAGTGGAGCAGCTGGTGGCCTCGAATCACGTGTTTTAGGGATTGCAGCATAGCTTCTTGCCATTAGGCCACCACAGCTGCATTACTTTATTTTTTTATTTTATTTTATTAATTTTAATGAACATTTATAGAGATTTTGCATTTTCATTCATTCATTGTTGCACTTTTCTCCCTGCCCAGCCCACGCCCGCCCCAAGTTCGCTCCTCTCTTTGAAAAGCAAAAGAAAAATTCCTTCTTTGGTATACAATCTCCCCGCATCCCCCCTCTGCCCCAAGTACACTCCACTATGCAACCTTAATTCTGGACTCTTGTGATAACCATAATACCCTATCATATATCGCTTTTAAATTATTCTCTCCCTCATCTGTTTCAATGCAGTATACATAATTTATCCAGTTTTTCTCAGTCTTACTCCAACCCTGATGTCAGTCCCATTTGAATTTCTTTACCTTAAGGTAAAAAAACAAAACCAAAACAAAAAAAAAATCAAACCCCAAAAAAACAAACTAAAAAAACCCCAAAACCAAAACCAAACAAACAAACAAAAAAACCCATCAACACCACCAAAAAAACAAAAAAACCCCCCGAAGATTCTCATCATCAGGCCAATTGACAACACCGTGATAGAAAGAGAAAAGATTAAGATTGTTACCAATTTCAGCTTGCTCAGCTCCACAATCAATACTCTTGACATTAGCAGTCAGGAAATCAAAAGATTAATTGCACTGGGAAAATCTGCTGTCAGAGATTGCTCCAGAGTGCTAAAAAGCAATGATGTCAGTCTAGAGACTAAGGTGTACCTGATTCAGGCCACGGTCTTCGCAATCACTTGCTATGCATCAGGGAGCTGGGCAATGATTAAGGTTGACAGAAGAAGAATCGATACTTTCGTGTTGCAGTGCTGGAGAAGAGTACTGAACATACCATGGACTGACAAGAGAACAAACAGGCCTGTCCTAGAGAGGAGGAAGCCAAGTTGCTCCTTGGAGACAAGGATTTTGAAGCTCTGTCTCACATACTTTGGGCACATGGCCAGAAGAGACCAATCCTTGGAGAGGGATATCATGCTTGGAGGGGAAGAGGGTCAGCATAGGAGAGGAACACCCTGGATTGCATGGATTGGTACAGTAAGTGGGGGCAGGTGTATGGGAGGTAGTGAGAGTGGCTCATGATAGGGCAAGTTTCAAGGTTATTTTGTATTGGGTCACTGTGAGTCATAATCAACCTACCGGCACACAATAACAGTTTTAAAAATTAGAGCAGATTAAGCACAGAATGTCCTGTAAAGATTTCCTACAAATTAAAGAGCCAAGTAACGCCCAGGGCTACTGACAAAGAAGCAATCAACACAGCCAAGATGCTGATGTGGAATTTTAGTCTCAAAAACTGTGAGAAAATGTATTTCTGTTCTTAAAAG